TCATTGTCAAGTTCTTGGCGGCTTGCTTCAACAAATCAAGAACCAAAGGCTAGTCTTAACGCCGTCATCGAAAGGAATTTCTTTAATTAATTCCCGACGGTAAAGGTGAAGTTAAGGTTAGAGTTTCCTCGTGTACCCAAGGTTAGGTTCAGTGAAGGGGTTCTTTGAGGTGTCGTTGACGATTGTTCTCGGTGTGGGTTGGGTTGGTGCTGGTGAGGTTTGATTCGTTGTCTTTTCCTCTGTTCTCTTGCAAGTTTGTTTATTTTTCCTGATGGTATTAGCTTCGTTCTTCCTGATGTTCGTGTGTTTGTTTTCTTTGCTTTGGTTAGTTGTGAATAGTTTGTTGTTATTTATTTGTCTTAGTTCATCTATGATGTCCTTGTGTATTTTGATGTTTTGGTTGTTGATTTTTAATAATTCTCTTTCTCTGCATGGTGATGAGTTAGAGGTTCATAGGGTTGTTCTGGTTATGGAGGTTAATGAAGTGTGGTCGTTGTTCTTGGAACCTTGTTGGTCGGTTTTAGGGGTTGTAAGGTTAGGCAATCCCTTGTTAATAGGGTTGGTGGTTCGTGTGGTTGCCTTTTCGGGGTGTATCTTTGTTCCCCTGGTAGTTAAAGTTAATCGGGTGAAGGGGAGTTCTCAATCAGGTGATGGGGTTTCCTTCTCCGGGAGTATGGATGTTTTTTCTTGTTTGGTTTTCCAGGGGGTCAAGTTTCATATGCAGTTGGAAGAGTTCCCTTGCATTTGGAGATTGCAGGGAAAGAGTGGTGTTGAGAGAAGCGGTTTGTTTGCAGTCCTTGTTGCTTGGTTGTGGGATGATATAGGCATTCATACAATTGCAATCATCCCCTTGTTGTTTGTTTTAGTGATGACAAAGTCAGTCATCGCTGTAAATCAAAATCTTGAAGGAGGCTCCCCATCTTTAGTGTTTGGGGTAAGCAAAGTCCTCCATTATCTTGCACTCTTTGTGGGTAGAGTTGCAGGAAGAGAACCTGCATTGGAATGCATGGTTTATCATGATAGAGTCGTTCAAGTATACGGCTCTTTTGGGTTTGTTCCAAGACTCCTAGCATGCGACTTTGATTTTCGATCCCTAGGAGTGGAATGGTATCAAGGGTTTTTTCTTCAGCAACAGGGTGCACTCATTTTTCGATGCCAGTGCCACTTCCGGTTTTCTGCATTGAGGTTATTCTGTGTTTTATGTCCATCTCGAATGTTATGGTTAATTCGGCATTTCTCGGTCCACATTGAGAATGTGGTACAATTTTCTTGGTTGGCTAGGCTATGTAGTATTTGGGGTGCTGTGAATCTTTTTTGGTACTCTGGTTCTCTTCGTATTTCCTCCTTTGGTCATTGTCAGGCGCTCTATGATGTTAGGTTTAGGTGTGTTGTCTTAGCATCTTTACACAAGGTAGTTTTGGTAGTAGTTCGTGTTAGGTTGGTTTTTGCTTCTTTTAGCTCTATTAGGTTGATATTGCTTTTATTTATTTATTTGATAGCTCTTTTGTCAAAAAAAAAAAAAAAAAAAAAAACCTAGGAACTGCTAAACACCCAATCCAGCCGTCATTCAACCTTTCAAATACCCAAGCCTATTTATTAGAGGTCAAATTTACTCGCAAATTAAATTTGTGAGTAATTGAGTATGTGACCGAATATTTAAAATGTGTATCCCTTTTTTTTCATACCTAATTTTTTTTTATCCTTCATAGCTTACATTTTGCATAGGCCACATGGGCATGCACTCCGACTCCAATTATAGGTAAGAGCTACTAGAACAAAGTTGTACAAGTCTTCCTATGCCTACACAGTATGTACATACAAGCTTGTCTTGATCCATTTTGACCTAAAATTTCCATATTCCCTATATATAGAAGCCAACCAGCATGATTTTGTATCAAAGATAGGTATTGCACAAAGTTTTGTATGTGGCTGGCCATAGAGTATGACCATCCAATATATGGGTTGCATCGTTATTGTAATAGGGGTTACTTGGTTAGTGTTAAGGGGTTACTTCGTCAATGTTATAGGAGTTACTCGGCCAGTGTTACAGGAATTACTTGGTCCATGTTATAGGGGTTACTTTATTCTTTTATAAGTGGTCACACGGTGTGGCCAGCCGGCAGCCACACATAAAATGAGCTGTATATAATGTACTTTTCGGTAATTTGTATTTGCACTTTTCTATAGACGTACCTTTTACCATTAATATTATAAATTATCTAATAACAAAAATTATAAAAATTTGATTTTACAGTACAATCTCGTGTGGGCGAACTTGGTTTGTTCAATTATTTTCTACGTTTTCCTTAACTCTTACTCACTTTCCATTTATATTCGTTTTTTAAGTTCTACTCACTTTTACTTTATATTATTCCTTTTATGACAGCGTTTTATTCATTTTTTATCATCCAAAGTCTCCCTTTCTGGGCCTCGGTTATGTTTAATAAACCTCTCATTCTCCATCTCTCTCCTCTTTAATACCAAAATACCCTAATGTATGGTCCCTAATTTTACTTTCCTAGGTTAATTTGCGTAGGTACAGTAACTGTGTTACACTCGGTAAAATGGAGGTTGTATAAAATTGTTGATGAGTTTAATAATATCTCACATCTCACGTGACCATTTTTTTTTAAAAATAAATATATAGCAATGAGAGTTGTTTATTGGTCAAAGTTTGACCATAAAAATAAAAACGAAAGTTATACTATAGGACAGAGGGGATAGTATAACTAAATAAATATATGTTGCACAATTATTTACCTATACTAAAGTGGAGTTTTTTCAAGGGACGACTTTTTCCTCCTAGCTAAACTGTCTTCATTTTTTTTTTTCTTTTTTGTTTTATGAGAATCATTAATTTGCTTAGAAACTTCATTATTTATTTATTTTTTGAGGATAACATTATTTATTTATTATTATTTCTCTTGTGAATTCCATATTTTTTTACAATTAATTTCAAAAACTAGCATGGCTCAGCTAGAAAGTTATCTAATTTCACAAATTCTTTAATAAGGCTGACTTTCATTAACTTATTATAAGACGGGTTAAAGTTACCCTTATATGTTATAAAAGTTACTCCGTAATAATGTATTAGATTAATCCTATTAGCCTTAATAACATGTATATCCATTATAAAATACACATTAATAAAATACAATCAAACTCATTACATACTTCGTATAACTGTCTTTCAATAAAATTAGTTCCTTATACAAAACTTATTGATCTAGCTTTCAACTTAAAAAAACTTAAATTCCCGTTCCAAAATCTCTCAACCCTTTCAGCATTTCTAAGGATCGATCTTCAAGGAAATGTTTGTCCTATCATTCTATCAATCATGTATATATGATGACCCTTAAATACATCTGTTTCGAAAATCTAAATCTTCTTTATTTAGTCATTCTCTTACTATAGTATATAAGAATCACTAACAATTTCATGTTGATATTGTTATATACTTTCCCCTTTAATTTGATAGCAATTATATATATATATATATATATATATATATATATATATATATATATAATATATATATATATATATATAAATTTTGCATTTGATTTTATGTAGTGCACTGAACAGAACAATGTGCTGTTCTCGCAATTAAGTTTCAACATGAACATAAACTAGGAAATTGGTTGATGAACTTTGATCAAATGGGAAACTTATTGGCAGTGCAAATGATGATTCTTCATTCATTTGCTGTTGTGGATGTATCATCACTTTCTAAAGTGCAAGATGCAATAATTATTTTATGTGAAGTTCATTTGTTATGAACCTCAGTTATTGGTCTCATTGGTATAATCTTCTTATATACGAGCATGTTCACATTTATTGAAGTGAGTTGAACTGAATTGATTACAGCTTAGTTGAAGTAAACTGAGGTAAAATGAATATTTTATGAGAGAAGGAAATTATGAGTTGAAGTGAAACGAACTAAACTAAATTGATTGGATCTGAACTAAACTGAACTGAAATTAAGCAAAAGTGAACATGCCCTTATATTTTTCTCAAAATTATGCTTGCTTGGAATGAGAAGAATAATTAGTGGGTTGTGTTGATCCTTTGCTTATCACATTTGTTGCTCACATTTTAAAAGGAGATAGGGATTGCTATTATGCGTCACTTTTTAAAGTTGTGACCTACGGAGTATTATCCTTGTCGTTTCAAACTTTATAATGTACTCTATTTGTGTCAAAGTAACTGCAATATTTGACTTTTTAAATTCAAGTTTTGTAAACCTTTGACCTTATATCTAATGAGTATACTAAGCTAATAAACATTATTGAACGTGCAGTGATCTTGATTAAGATGCTTTTAACTTAAAATTTAGCATTTGAAAAGTTTATATTTGTATTAATACCTAAGTAAAAATGTTAATGAATAAATATACATTCCTTGCGCAATCTAAAGTCAAATGCAACACTCAATTTGGAACGACGGGTGTAATATTCAATTTCAATACGTAATTATGTATAGTAATTAATAAATCATCTCTTTAATTTATCTCCTTATATTTTAAGCATGTTCTGGCGTAATAAAATTTATAATCAAGATAATGGTACAATTGACAATTAATAGTTATAACATAGAGCTAATTATAAGAAATGGAGGAAGTAATTGGATTTTTAAAAACACCCTAGCTATTGACAGTTTGACAGCACATGAATTTTTAAACTATTTTTACATTTCAACTTAGAATTTTACCAAGTTATTTAGAAACAAGCTCAAACTGAAAGGACAGCTCTTCAATTACATTTATTTGTTACTACTATTTACAACTTGAAACATTTATAAATCCATAATACAATACATTTGATTTGAGCTATTAGTGATTACCAAGTAAATAAAGTAACATTAGAGACCATTAATTCTAAACACAATAATAACTTAAGTAAATCAAATTAAGAACTCTTGACAGAAAAAAAAAAAAAAAAAAAAAAAAAAAGGGTTTTCATACTATGCGTACATCACATAGTACATACCCCTCATGAAAGGAAGTGAATTATCCCTGTACTATAAACCTTGGCGAATTCAAATTCGAGGGGACAACAATGGTAATTGGAAGAGATAAAAACATACACCATTTTAGCTAGCTAGCTAGGACGACATACAACCATTGTGTTCGTTACTGCTGTGGGCCTTCCACCATGTTCCGTTGTGTCGAAATCGTGTAGCTTGGAGCTGCAATAATGATGATCATCAGTTAACAATAAAATTAATGGTACAATCTAGACGAATACATTTATAGATATGTCTATATCAAAATATACGTGTAACAATTTTTATGCTATAAATAAGTTTATCATATAGAAATGATGTACTATAATTATAGTATATGATTAGGTATTATGGAAATTTACCACTTTGATGACAAACTTCAAAACTTGGCTGATAGTTTAAAGTTGTTGTTAAAGGACTCCAATTTCCTGTAAGATTATCACCTCTAACTTCAAAATAATCATTGTTTCCTTCCTTAATGATACTTGTATTAGTGTAATTAACTTGTTCTCTACTTTGCTTTCTCTCTAATGTTCTTTTCTTTGCCCTTTCTCTTGCAACTTTTCTTTCCTCTTTTGTTGTTCTCTTTCTCTTCTTAATAACTTCATCTTTTCTAGCACATGATGACAACCCTCTCTTCTCCTTAGAACACCCTATTCTTTCCTCTTCGACTATTGTCGAATCCACTTCACAATCATCCGAGGTTGAGGATATGGTGGTGCACTTAGTAGTCACACCACTTGGGCTTCCATGCTTGCTTTGAACGAGCTCTTCGATGGATGACTTAGATTGTATCAACAACCACTCGACGGTTCTACTAGCCTTATCAAAGCCTAACATGTCTTGCAACTTGAAGAAAGGGCGAGCAACTTGAAGGGAGAGTCTCATTCTCCTATCTCTTAAACCATGAGCCGTCCTAATCTTGCTATGCCTATCCTTATTGGAAGTTCTCTTCCTCTTCATCAAACCGCCGTGACTAATAGCATTCTTATTAGAGCTTATGGTGTGGTTATTCATTTCATTATCTTCTACTATTCCATTGACCTCATCACCCTTGTTTGATGAATCATCCACTACCTTGCTATGATCAACTTCCAAGATGGAGGAATCGTCGGTCAAAATAGAGCTATTGTTAGCTAAGAAGGATTGTTGGATGAATTCAAGGTCATGGTTGATAACAAAATCGTCGATTTCATTGTAAATCAAAGGAGAAGGCAAGTGATAGTAAGATGTAGAGTAATGATTAGATGAATAATGATCATCTTGCTTGGAATTCGGGTTTGAATCATCAATAAGGTAGCTCAATATATTGTCCACATAAAGAATGGGACTAGTAGTACAAGTAGTTGTAATATTATTATTGCTCAAAGTAGAGGAGTTCAACATTATTATTGGGTGTAAAGACTAAACTATACTATTCTATGCGTTATTATCACACAAGGCAAGAACTAAAAAGAAACACTGAGAGCTATTTGAAAGGGAACTCTCAAAAGAAATTAGGAGAAGACTTTTTTAAGTAGAGCAATTCTTTTCAAGTGCCTTGTAGCATCAAGCAAAGTTGTTATAAGCTCGTTCGATCCGTCTTTTTCAATCTACTTTTCTGCAAACAAAGAATCAACTACAAAGCTTGAGATAATGGAGATGTTATGGAGTACAACACTAACATACACATGTGCCATATGTTGTTCAATGACAAAGACAAGTTATAAAAAAAACTAATTAATACCATATATGTACACTTAATCTATGTGATTAAGAAAGATGGATAAGAGATAAAATTTGCTAATTGACCTACCTTACACCATAATAATGGGAATAATTGAAGTGGGGTGGGGGAGCTCGAAAGAGACGCGACAATAAGCTTTAGAAAGGTAAAAGGAAAGAGGGGGAATAGATGATGGGAATGATGATGAGAAGATGAAGGAAGGAAGATATAATGAAGGAAATTAAAGGTAAGATGCTAGGCTAGTGTCACATCTCTTTTTTTAGGAAGGAAAAAGTTGGATGGTTGTGTTTGAGTTGTGTAGCAGCAACCATGAAAAGGAAATTAAAGGGTGGGGAATGAATTGAAGACCAATACAACAAAGACAATATGGCCAGAACTTAAAACATACAATAGTGTTCTTTGTTTTATGAATTGAAGTGACTAAGTGTGTGGATGATAACATTTAGTGTTTGTGTCTTCAAGGGCCTCTTCACGTGGGAGTCAAATGACTATCTTTGAGATGGATTTTGACACCCAAACTCCACCATCCCCACAACTTTTCAATGCTTTCTTACCAGCCTATATCCAACAATAATTACTCTGGCTTGTGGTCGCGATACATGATCAATCGAGGATCAACAAAATAGTCCAATCTCGTATTTGTATTAATGTATGCAGTACTTGAGAGGGTTGTGGTGCGAAATTTGGCAGTACCTTGGATGGTTGTGGTGGTACATTGTTCTTCATTCAGATAGAATTTCAAGTGGGTTTGTTGACTTATTGGTGTTGCATACATTATTAGGGAGTTGTGGTGGTTGAATTGATTGTAAAATTATGCCGTTTAATGGACTCAACCTATCAAGCCTTTTTGCTAACATGAAATAGACACACAAAACACGTATTCTATTAGAGTCCATCATATCATTGATAAGGACATAACACATATTTACCTTATGGAGTATTAATAATTATCTACAAATACATTATACCCCATATGGCCATATTTATTTCAAAATCCATTTGACCTTACCGAGCTGAAAATTTTAGTGGGATTTGATCACACAATCTTAAGGTTCTGAAATAAAAACCTTACCACTAAACTAAGCTATGCCTAGTCATTATAACCTTACCTTCTTGTACCTAATACTCGTACTTTATGGTACTCAAACGCCTAACCACTTATTTTGAATCGAAACCTTAGCTAATGTGATTGTGAGAATATATATATATATACACCCCCTTAGCTCATCTAACATAACCACGACTTTGATCGAGAAGCTAGATATACATATCTTATCATACTAGTGGTCCAGTACATACATACAGTTGTCATACTACTAGTTCAAATTTGAATATGACGTAATTGTGAATCCACAAGAATGACAAAGTCCCACCCTATATATCTAGGCGATATGTCCCTCGACTCCCTCATTACCTCCCTAAGTGTACTTACTGTAAGGAGCAATAGTGTAATTGATGTAAGAGATATTTTGAAGGCTCTTCTCCAATCTAGCTTGATGTTTGTTGAGCACACAAGACAATAATAAGTACAGGCATTGACCGTTCTAAACCCTATCTGAATCTGATTTTTTTTTTTAAAAAAAATAAAAAAATAAAAAAATATAAAAAAATAAAAACCTCTGAAACCATTTGCTGCACTTGGGCCCTTTAAACGCTGCATACCTACACATTAAGCAGTGAACTCCATTTTTTCAAGGGCTATTTTTTTTTTTCTTAGTAATAAATTCATAATATCTGTTTTAATTCCTTTAATTTATCATAATTTGTTGAGCCATTAATATTAAATATTATTGATTCTATAATATGGCAGAATCTTCTGAATTTTTTTGTCTGATAATTATGTTTTCTTAGTATCTTTCCATGAAAAGTCCTTTTGTTTTAATTAGGAAATGGAAAACAGGCTACTCCTTAATCTAAAGTCTGTGATATCACTGATATGAGATGTAGTAATCTAGACATGGTGAATTTACAATTATTGTCTCATAAGAAACCAATCAGATTAAATACTCACTTCATCTCTTTTCAAAAAGTAATTAAAAAATAAATCAATTATTCGTCCTATATTATTTTGCTACATTATCTCGGTTATTAATATTCCCTTTTTAGAAATTACTACATCCTTAAATTTTTTTCACTATAGTTTGTCACTAAAATTTAGCCTGGCCCGACCCCTCTCCTTTTTATCTTTCACTTTTTTCACATTCATTGTAAAGTATGTCCTGCGAAAACAATTCTCAAGTAGCACATAAATAGGGACGGAAAAAGTAACATAAATTTCTAGATTCATGGGTAATCACCATACAGTCCTTTTTACCAACCAATATTAACCCCATAAAATCAATATTTATCCTTTCTCTGAGCCCTATTCTATCAGAAAATACTCACTCATATACCCCATTTCATCCCCAATTAACAGTTAATCATCTTCACACATTTGCATATTTCGGAACAGAAAAGGCGCACCTTGTTGGTATGAGTAATACGAACACACAGAAATCGACACACACTTGAACTACGACCCCAGACTCATGTACAATTGACAAATTATTTATGAAACTAAATTAATAAAACTTTATGGAATAATTAAGTTTTGTACTGTATATATACAACAGCCTAATTAATCATCCCAATTATCATTAATTGTCACAATCATTTGGATACTTTTCTAATGTTGTACGTACATTATTTTTTCTTCTTTTCTGCTTTACCATGGGGACCTTGGGGGTTGTTAGACTAGTCTTCAAATGTATGTGAAATTGTAAATGTAGTACTTTTTCAGATTCTAGGTATACATATGTATATTGTTGTTGCAATGCCATTGGTGGCTATAGAGAATCATAAGAAAAGCAACTCGTTACTAGTGATTTCAGTCATCCCAGATTACATAAAAGTTCATAATTTGCATATCATTCAAAAAAAAAAAAAGACAAGCACATACAAGCAATAATGATTCTACTACATACTTCTGTTTCACAATGATGTTTACGATATATAGATTTGAGACGTCCATTTAAGTGTATTTTTAATTTCTCTTAATCTTAATTAAAGAAAAGTATAGTATGTATGTGACATAAAATGATGTATGTGGAGGTATAAATAAAGCCCTAGTGGAGAGCAATAATGTAAAGACAAGCAAAAAAAGGGGTGGCAAATGTGGCATAGAAAGCAAACCTTCTTTTGACTGTAGAAGAGGGCCTCTTATATTCCTGAATGAAGGTCATTTTCATTAAAAAGAGGTGAACAGCCTCAACACACTCTTTCTCTCTCTTTCAAGTAGTCAAGTAGTTACAGCTATGTGAGGGTGGTATCCATCCATCCATCTATCTCATCTTAAGCTTGCTTATACTCTATTTTCTTATTAGCATTTTCCTTCTCTCTCTCTTTCTCTCTCAAGCCTTTCTAATGGAATGTATGTTGTGTTCCCTCCAATGCCGCGTGCTTATCTATGAAAATGCCTCCCTAAATAATAGTATTTTATGTTAAAGGTGTCAATTCAAGTTATCAGTCGGTTAGGGGCAAGCCTGGTTAATTTAGGTCATTTCGGATTTGAGACATCAACCAAATTATTGAGTGGTTAATTTAGGTTCGCATTTGAGACGTGTCAAATTATTGAGTGATGCAGATGAAATTCATAAATTTGGGTTATTTTTTGCCTTCTCTATTTTGATATCAATGATGACGTATATTAAGAGCATATTGGATATTTACAGTGTAAAAAAAGTTAGATTATTTCTTAATGGGAAATTGCATACATATGCAAAATTTGTGAAATTTTTTAAAAAGGAAATTATTGATAATGAATATCTAAAGAACGAAGGATATAATCAATTAGATTTTGAATTAGATGTTCTAACAATACTTTTAGGTGTTTACGCAATAAAATTTGAAACTATGAAAGCTACCCTTTCTTTTACAACCTAAACAATAATGTGCTTTAGATTCGTATCTAATGTAATTGTGAAACTATTTGATGCAAGAACTAGCGTTAAGATCAATAAAGTAGGGTTAATGAGTCTCACTCAAAACATCATTTAAGTATGTGTTATGAGGAATTAAAGGGAGATATATTAGGTTACTATATTGCTTGTACTTGTAAAACTATGCACCACAATATTTCAAACCCTACTAAGCTAGCTAGTGCTTTCATTTCCACTTCATCTATGTCATGTCTAGTCTATATATCTATTTACATCCATATTTTTTTAAGATTTTTTTTTTTATCGTCAAGTACTACAAGTATTATATTTTTATGGAAATACGAGTAGTCCTTTTTAGGGCTGTGCAAAACTATCCGAAAAACCGAAAACCCGAAAAATCGAACCGTAACCGAACCGAAAAATTGGGTACCCGAACCGTTTAAAGAAAATGGGTCAGGTAACCGAACCGATAAGAATTTAATGGTTCGGGTAACGGGTACCCGTTAACACTGTTTCGGATACCCGAATGTCCCGAAAATATTTTTTTTCGAAATCTCAAATGAAAAATGTCAGTTTTTTTTTAGAAAAAAAAGAAACAGAAAATAAAGAACAAAAAAGTGAAAACCCTAAACTTCGTTCTTTTCTAATTTCTCAGTCATTCACTTCACTCAGCCTCCATCCCCCTCTCTCTCCTCCTCTTCTCTAATGTCTATGCCTCTGGTTCTCTAATCTCCATTCTCCATTCACTCCTTCATCTCCTCCATTGAAGCGGCTCTGAGCTTTCACTCCTTCATCTCCTCCATTGAAGCGGCTCTGAGCTTTCACTCCTTCATCTCCTAATGTCCTCAGGTAATTAACTAATTATCCCTTTGCCAAATCTAATTATTTGCAATGAATTGATTAAATTCAATTAAACTTAAACTCTTGTTTTAATTTCACAGATCGCAGATTCAGTTTAGGGCTCTGCGTACTTCGACTTCTCCATTGAAGCGGCTTCTGAGCTATACGCCTATACTCCTTTATCTCCTCCATTGAAGCGTACTTCGACTTCTCCATTGAAGCGGCTCTGAGCTTTCACTCCTTCATCTCCTACATTGAAGCGGCTCTGAGCTTTCACTCCTTCATCTCCTACATTGAAGCGGCTCTGAGCTTTCACTCCTTCATCTCCTCCATTGAAGCGTACTTCGGCTCTCCATTGAAGCGGCTTTTGAGCTTTCACTGTTGAGGTAATTTACATTTTATAGTATCTGACTATCTGTGGATTTTTCGAATTTGTAATTGTTTTTTTTTTCCTGATTTTTTATTGTGGTACTATTAATTTTTTTTTTTTGTTTTTTTTGGGAGGAATGGTACTTATTATGGTTTTCAGAATTGAGGTTTTTTTTTATTATTTTTTGTCAAGTTGTGTCTGTTAGATTTAGATGAGTGAGTAAGGTGAGATTTCTGTTTTTGATGTGGAAATAAGGTTGTTGAGAAAAAACAAGGATTCAGAGTGATGTTGTTGTGTGATGTTGCTAAGCATCTATGGTTGTTGTGTACTAATGTTGTTGAGCATCTATAGTGTTGTGTGATGGCTTCCTGTGTGTTGAGCATCTATAGAGTTGTACATGATAATCATGTAGTCCAATATGATTTATTGTAACATGAGTTAATTACAAGCATTTTAAGAAAACGTTTTAAGATTTATTGTAGTCCAATATGATAATCATGTAGTCCAATATGATTTATCTAGTTGCTTCTACTCAGGTTAATCTGTCAACGTATGGTTTAACAGAATTGAGTAATATTTGTCAGCTGAAATTTGGTTTAACAGTAACTTGTGTGGCTGTGTACATCATCTTTTGGACTCATTTTCAGTAATACTTGCCTAAGGTACTGCAAGGCTCACAGAGTGATTATATGGTGTAGTTGTACCAATAGTTTTTTTTATTTCACTTGCTTGTCTGAGATTTTATGATTGTGTATTTGTGTGACGTGGAAAAGTTTGTCCTGTTTGTTTCTAATAGACATATGTCCTAGATGTTCACCCTTTCAGCCCTCATATAGCTATGACTCATTCTTGTTATTTGTGTATACATGATTGAACTTATTTGTTTTTTTTTTCATTTGTAGGAGTGTATGGAATCTGGAAGTAGTGGGGATATGGAAGACTCATCGGCTACAAGTCAAGCTCCTCCAATTCCAAGTCCTCCTCCCGAGCCTTGGGAGTATGACCCTTGTCCAATGACGGAAAATAATGACCCCTTTGACCAGCAAAATCAATCAAACCAACCTTCTAAACCTGCTGATGCTGCTGCCCCCCTTAAGTGAAACTTTAAAAAAATCTAGAAAAAGGCGCTTTCCTCATTGGGAGCATTTTATAAAGAAGGATGGAGAAAACAAGGCTGAATGTATCTATTGTCATACATTCATTGGTTGTGCATCACTTCAAGGTACCTCCGGCATGAAGAACCACATAAAGTGGTGTAAGGAATACCCCCCAAACATTGATCAAAATCAGCAACTATTGTCCCTTAGTCAACAAACTCTTGATGGGAATCTCGTGGATCAAAAAAAAGGTAGACTTGAGATGTGGAAATTCAATCAAGAAGATAGTAGGAGAGCTCTGGCAAAGATGGTGATCATGGATGAAATGTCTTTTAGAATGGTGGAGCATGAAGGTTTTCGCAACTTTATGAAGGTAACGCAACCCTTTTTCATTATTCCTTCTCGATGGACAGTGACTAGAGATTGTTTTAGGATTTATTTGGATGAGAAAAAAAGTTTGAAAAGTTTTTTTTTAGTAAGTGCACTTCACGTATAAGTCTCACCACTGATACTTGGACTTCTTGCCAAAATATGAATTACATGTGTTTAACCTTATTGACCAAAATTGGAAATTGCATAAAAAAATAATTAACTTTTGTATAATTGCTGGTCATTCTGGCGAAACAATTGGTAAATCTGTCCAAAAGTGTCTACTTGAATGGGGTATTTCTAGAGTAATGACTGTCACTGTAGATAATGCAAGTTCAAATGATGTTGGCATTCAATATTTGAAAAGAAGGTTTGAAAGTTGGAAGACATTAGTTTTGGGTGGTCGGTTTTTACACATGAGATGTTGTGCTCACATATTAAGTTTAACCGTTAAAGAAGGATTGAAAGAAAGTGATGTGTCAATAAAAAGAATTCGTTGTGCTGTTAGGTATGTAAGATCATCGGGTGCTAGATTGCAAAAGTTCATGAGTTGTGTTAAACAAGAAAAGTTGGAGTCAAAACGTTTTCTTTGTTTAGATGTGGATACTAGGTGGAATTCCACTTTTTTAATATTGGAAGGTGCTTTGGCATATCGTAGGGCTTTTGATTTGCTTGAATGTTCAGATGGTGGTAAATTTAGGTATGAGTTACTTAAGACAGGCGGGGTGCCTGAACCTAGTGATTGGGATCGTGTTGCCTCTTTTCTTCCTTTACTTAAAATATTCTATGATGCTACTCTACGAGTTTCCGGCTCGTTGTATATCACCTCTAATGTGTATTTACAAGAACTTGTTGGGATTAGTGTGTTAATCAAGAAAAAAATGTTGAGTAATGATGCGGGGGTGAGTTTAATGGCTAGTGGAATGAAGAAAAAGCATGACAAGTATTGGGAAAATGTTGATAATGTGAATCTCTTGTTGTATATTGCTGTCATTCTTGATCCTAGGCGGAAAATGGGATATACTAAATGGGCAATTAATCAACAATATGATTCTGAAAAAGCTAAGTACTTGTGTGATAAAGTGATGCAAACTCTGAATGACATGTATGAACTTTATATTTCTGAAAACCCTCCAAATGAGTCTATTCTCCCTAAAACTTCTAATTTTTCGGAGGAAGTAGAAGATATGGATTCTGATGTAGATGTTGCGGAATTAGAGTTTGAAAGGCAGGTGGGTTCATGTGTTGGAGTACAAGGGAAAAATGAGTTGGCCAAGTATTTTAGAAGATGATAGAGAAGTTAATCCCGCCGGAAAAAGCTTTGATTGTTTGGGGTGGTGGAAAAAATATGGTGAAAGGTATCCAACAATAGCTCTCATGGCTAGAGGTGTACTTGCCATTCCCGTATCAACAGTCGCTTCCGAATCAGCTTTTAGCACCGGTGGTCGAGTGCTTGATTCATTTCGCAGCTCACTCTCAACTAAGATGGTTGAAGCCTTGATTTGTGCACAAGATTGGTTACGTACATCTCAAGGTCCTCTTATACTTGAGGAGAGACTTGAAGATATGGAAAAAATTGAATCAGGTAACATTTAAATATTTTCTCTTTTTTTTTTTAATCTCATTATCTTGTTAATTATTCATTAACTTTTTTTTAATTTTTTTTTTTTTGAAGAAATGTTACCTCTTGGTGAGGAACACTATCTCTTTGTTGATGATGATTAATTGATTAGAGGCAACAACTTATAATCATGAAGGTTGGTGGTGATTGTATTGAAGGCCGGAAGTCATTGAAGGCTTGGAGTATTTTATGAAATATGATTACTATGGACTGTTTTTGTTTTAAAACTATAAACTATGGACTTTTTTTTTTTTGTTATGTATTGGTTTATTATTGTTAACTATGGACTTTTTTTTTAAAAGAAACAGTATGTTTGTATCAAGTATTTGTTCATTTGTAATCGGGTTGAGTGTTGTGTTATATGTGTATTCAGGTTTAAATATCAGCCTATTAGGCTGTTATTTGTTACAAAAAAAATCATAGTACTAATAACAATAATTAATACTAGAAAAACAGGTGGAAGTTTGGACAAAAATATTATTAAGCAGGTGGGTACAAGGAGGAGTTCAAGCAGCCAAGTAGGAGAGGTGAGGAGACAGCAGCCTCAAGGACAGGGACTGGTAGGTTGCCAAAGCGGAAGACAGCGATAGTTGTAATTATTTTTGTTATTTGTGTATTTAAGTTCAATTGTTATAGTTCAAAAAATAGGAAGTAAAAAAAAACTAGTAAAAACTAAAAAGCATCTAAAAACGAATTGCAAAGCAGGTTTTAAATAAATAAAAAGACCCAAAAAAAAAATCAGCTTATTGGTTCGGTTCGGATATTTGGTTCGGGTACCCGTATTTTCGGGTATCCGAATTTACGGGTACCCGAACCTTATCGGAACGGTTTCGGAAATCGGTTTTAGCCTTAACGGTTATCGGGTACCCAAACCAATAACGTTATCGGAACGGGTACCCGTCCCATGCTCTCCCCTAGACTCCTTTCCTTTTGCATGAACATGATGCACAATACCAGCTTACCTTGTGGACTAGTGGTAAGAGAATGAAACCTCTGAAGTCTAGGTCCAGGGTTCAAGCATTGGTACCACCTCTCTTTCTCTCTTCTCTCTGAACATGAAGCACAATTATAAAGCTAAAATATGCATCTATTTTTACCATGCCTACTCCTTACAAATTTTTACCAAATTTGCATGCCGTTCTATTACTACCCCTTTTTCCTACTCAAAGGTCTTTATCCATCGTTTTAGATTAGATTATTAGACTACCATTACGTTTGTACCTCATTTTTATTGGTTACTTTATGGTGTTATGCTTTAATATCTCACGCCATGACACGATGTATGAGAAACCACGTACGTATACAATCAATATCATATGCCTTTGTTGAATTCTACTTAATTAATTTCCTATTGCTTCTAATTAAAGAGTTAAATGGACCTAATTGACTCGTGAGAGATCGGAAATTTATGATAATTTGACTAGCCTTTTGTTTTTATGTCTCGGGTAAAACACTAATTTGAAAATTACATATATCTAATTTAAAACACTAATTAATGTCATATGATTACTATAGTTCATTAAACAAATACGGAGTATATATGATGAATTGTTAGTGATGGAAATTATACTTATGATAATATTTGTCGCATATTAGGATAATATTGTATATATATTCTGTTATACCTCGTATTCTTATATGTCATGTTAGATTTCGGGAAAACTCCTCAAATTGGAATGTGTCATGACCTCATGCTCATATACTTTAACTTCAACCAAGAGTGTCTATAATGTTTTGTTATAAAGAGTTAATCGTATTCATAAACTTGAAAATTTAATGTTTATTTTTATACATGTATTTTTAACTATAATCTATAATAACAGAAAATAATGATAATTTAATTTCTTTTATTTGCTCATACATAAAATAAAACATACATTGTTTTAAAAATAAAAAAATATAAAACTTATACTACTATTTTATACATGTAACCCAAAATATGTATTGAATATTTTAAGCTATTTATATATTTATTTATTTTTTCTATTCTAATGAAACGTCTCATATATATATCTATGTTGACTTGTACTTCACATCATTAGCTTCGATCCTACATACTTCACAATGTCTATGTATGTTGACTTGTACATCGATCCTTGAAACATGCTAAAAAAACCATGAAGCATAACAAGTACAAAAACACATACGTCTAACACTTAACACTTAGATGCACGATACACACATCACTGAATTTTCTCCAAGCTTCGCAATTATTTCTCTTGAAGCATATACTACAAAAATTTCCTAATCTAGGTTTGTTGATATGAGCTCCATATAAAAACATCTATGCTTGTTATACAATGGAGACTTGTGTACGATCCAATAGTCAACACAATGGATAAACCCTATGCATGTGCCCACTCTTTGGACTCATTTACTTTATGAACCTTATCCAAATACAAATAGCTTTTATTATATATATTATATTATTATTTGAAACTATACATTACATAAATTACAATATGACATAATAATAAGTTTACGTATGGTACTTGTTGAAATAATCAACAAATGAACTAGCTAAGTTTCCTTAGTTGCAAAAGAAGACACAAAACTTTTCCTATTTATAGTGAAGCACCACTCAAATTGGGTAATGCAACAATTACTTTGGTTAGTTACGGTATTATTCAGTTGTAGCAGCTTTTATAGCCGTCCAAGTATGACTAAGTTAGTTGATTGAATTGGTTACATGCAGTGGCTGACCTAGGAATTTTCGTCCGGTGAGTCAAAATTGATAATAAAACATGTAATAAATTTTTTTTACCAAACAATCAAATAATAATACTAAAAATACAACCAAATATTCAAAAAGTATAAAATACAACCAAATGTTCAAATAAATTTATTTTTGGGTAGACTAGTGAGTGATATGACTCACCAGGACAACATCCAAATTCGCCCGTGGGTGTGTATTAGCCCGTAAGCTATGAACCAAAATTTATTAAATAAGCCGTGAAATTTAAATGAAAACTATGAACTTACATTTATTAATATATAATACATGAAAATTAAAAAGAAAAAAAAACACATGGTGAAGACACTTCACGTTGAAAAGCCTGAACTTCCAATGACTAGTCCTTTCCAAATGTGAAAGCTTTCTAAATCTAAATTTTAAGCTTTTCCTCCCATACTTGAAGCATTATCCTGCTTCCCTCCCTTATAACCAACCAAACCCTTATTATCTTTTCCAAAGCTGGCCGTGTATCCCCATCAAGGCCATCAACCTTCCTATTCCAACGCTTCTATAATTCCCCATCAAGGTTATGACACTAAACCTCACCTACATCCGGGGCTCAATGGCAGCCATCCTTTTGAGTCCTCCAAGACTCAACTTGCCCCCAAAACATCTACTTCCATTTCCGTCAGTTCCGTAACCCGGTCTAACGCCGATAGGGTTCTTCTCTTTACAGAAGCACGAGAGGAAAGCTTTCATGACTGTCTTCCTCTTTTTCTTTCATTGTGACTACTGGCATCTTGGACCGTCCGAAAGGGTGATGGTTTTTTTTTTAAAAATAAATTGATTTTTTTTTGCCTCACTGGTGAGTCATATGACTCACCATGACATTAACTAGGTCCGCCAATGGTTACATGCACACTACTACTACTAGCTCTCAATCTCTCATCTAGAAGATTTTGATGTTTGTGATTATTATGCCCTCTACAATGCTCTAGCGATCAAGATGTGCTAATGCTCACGTGAGAATGAGATGCCTAAATGTCCTAATGACTCAATGATTGTCATACATACTTCCTCCGTTTTTATTTTTTTATTTGAAACACAATGGATGTTAATGCATGTATGCACTTATAAGAGGTGATTAGAGAAGATAAAAGAACTATTATATCAAAGTAATTAAAACTATGTTTTAAGTAAAAGATCAGAAAAGTATGTAGTTGGTCTTCTTGTAATCAGTCTTAAATTATTTGTCATGTTAAAACAGATTTCGTCCATTTTCAAGCCTTTGCTCACAATGTATCTATGGACTTTATGTACATGAATGATTTTGGTCGTGATGCATGGTAAATTATTACGCAGTATGTAGTATATATATATGTAGGAAATGAAAATGTTATTATGTTGATATGTATTTTTTAGATTAATGAGAATAGTTGAATGCTTAAGTATATAATAAAATGTTTTGATTAATTTCCAATGGTTCATGTTATCAGTAAGTATATACTTCGTATAATAGATTAATAACTTGTGGTAGTATTGTTTGTTTTACAGGTTATGGTAGAAAGAATGAGGCCTTTGCTCGATCTCAAAAGGTATATTGAATGATGTGTGTTAGATTTCGGGAAAACTCCTCGAATTGGAGTATGTACCATTGATCAATATATATAGAATTTTACAAGACTTATAATCCTAGTACGATAAGGATATAAAAGACACACAATTTTTTCCCAATATGCGACAAATATTATCATAACTATAGTATCTATCACACCCCCGCGGTCATAGCGGGAGGAGATCGTACGCTAAGACTAGATGTAAAATCTAATCCAAAAATAAGTCTCATGGTATGCCTTTTGTGAAAATGTCCGCAAACTGCTATCTAGAAGAAACATGTAAAACCCGAACTTGTCCCAAAGCAACCTTTTCTCGAAAAAAATGGATATCAATCTCCACATTTTGCTTGGTGCGTTAGTTGGTGTTGTACCAGGTTGCCAGAATGGTAGAAAGCACCGACATTATCATAATAAACAATAGTAGCCTGTCGAAAAGGACAGCGTAACTCAAGTAAAAGATTACGAAGCCAACATGCTTCAGAGACAACATTTGCGACGCCTTGATATTCAACTTCTGGCACGATTTAGATAAAGTATGTTGACGCTTAGATGACCAAGAAATGAGGTTGTCCCAAAGAAAGCAGCAATAACCCGATGTGCAGTGGAACAACGGGTATCGGGACAACCTCCCCAGTCAGCATCAGTGTAAGTAATCAAACGATGAGAAGCAGACGGATATAAATGTAAGCCACGATCAATGGTATTCTGAGCATAACACAAAATGCGTTTTAATGCATCATAATGAGATTCTTGGGGATCATGCCATGCATAAAAGACACACTTGTTGTACCGCATAGGCAAAATCTAGCCTATGAAAGTGAGATATTGAAGAGCACCTGCTAAAGTACGATACAAAGTAGGATCCCGAAAAGGTGGTCCTACATCTGCACTAAGTTTGGACTTAGTGTCAGTTGGAGTAGCAACAGGTTTACAAGAGCCAATACATGCACGCTCTAAAATCTCATGTGCATACTTTTCCTGTGAAAGTAGCAAATAAGAAGGAGTACGAGTCACCACAATCCATATAAAATTGCTCAAAGGACACAAATCAGTCATAGGGAACTCAGTTTGCAACTGAGATATAATCCCCTCACGCAACCTATTAGAAGAGGTAGCTAATATAATATCATCAACACACTACTAAAATTCGGCTAGTTTACATACGACCGTTTATTTACGACCGTCTAAAAAACGGTCGCAATATATAGTTAGAAAATGCAACCGATTAAATACCGGTCGTAGATTTTAATATTGTGACCGTTTAATACTTTTCTGCGACTGTTATAGCAGACGTAATAAGATTCAATTTATTTTTTAAAAAAAACACTAATTACGACCGTCTAAATAGTCGCAGATACAGTCGTGGTTTTTCGGGAACTTAATAAAAACAAAATACAATGAGTTATATAATTGTCTTAGAAAAGGAGGTGGGAAAACGAAGAAGACAAAGAGGCGAATAAGGGCCGCACGACCCCGACCTCCTCTCACCGACGTGGCATTCTCCGACCAGCGTCTCATCTCATCAGTAAGTCCTTTGAATTCTTGTTTTTTATAACAAAATTGATTGAAGTAGTGCAAAAACCCTAACTCTTGGGTCGTAAATCAGGCGGTTCGCTGACCATCGTCGCCAGCACTTCCTATTGCCCGTCACTCCTCCGTTTTTCCTCGCCGCCACCCAGGTAAGTTGTTAAATTCTTTTTTTTTTTGTTTTTTTCGTTTTATTTGGGCGAAAATGGCTAATTTTGGTCGAATTTCACCATGGCTGCAGACTACCGACGCCGACGGTCCGTACTCCAGGCCCTCCTTTTTCCGTTGCCGCATCCTCCCAGCCTCCCCGGTATGTCATCTCAGTTATTTTATTTTTATTTTTATTTTTTTTTTAATTTCTTTAAGTTCTCTACAAACCTTAACTTCCATTTAATTTAATACTCGTTTAATTTTCTGTTTTAGGTTATGCTCATTGCTGGGTTATAAAAATATGGATTTAGTTAACTGAATGGAATTAGATTTATAGAAAATGCTAATGAATCATGAAAAGAAATATATTCATACATAACAGGTGAAAAAAAGTATAGGAGGGGAAAACCTAAATGAATGTGGCAGGTTCAGGACTTATGTGAAGCAAATCCTGAGAGCCCGGGTGTAGATGAAGTAATATGCCCTTGTTCGGTATGTAAGAATAGACGTCTTCATGATGCAAACACAGTAAAACTTCATTTGTATAAGAAAGGGTTTATACCTAATTACTATGAGTGGGTGTCTCATGGTGAAGGGTTCCCTACATCAAGTGTATAACAACCAAAACCTTACCGTGAAATGGTTCTCGATGCTCTTGGGTAGGGGTGAGAGTAGCAGGGTACCCTGTAAAAATCTTAGGATCCAGAACCGGAACCAGTTGCAACAGGTTCCTAAAAATGGGCCGGGAACCGAAACCGGAACCTGTTCAACAGGTTCCTAAAAATTGGGAATCGGAACCGAAACCTGCAGGTTCCGGTTCCTCAACAGGGTACCTTGTCTTTCAAAGTAAGCTTAATAATTACTTGATAAATTTTAACAAAAAGAAAAATAGATGTTCACAATAAAAGCTTACAACTTTAATATAGTACAACAAATATAACAAACTAACACTCATTGTCTAGAATATTTGATACAATATTATAAATACTTGTATTAATACCATTAACTAAACCTTTTAAGAGTAAGATGAAAAATGAATAAGAGGAGGAAGAGAGGTATGTGATGGCTTTTACACAATTTTGATGTAAGAAGGCATTATATTTGGGTTTAAATGATAGGTTCTGATTTTGTGTATCCTACAGGGAACCTGTACTAACAGGGTACCCTACAGGTTCCGGGTCCAAAATTTTATTACCCGAAACCGGAACCTGTTGCAACAGGTTCCCAATTTTATTACTCGGAATCGGAACCTAATCTACAGGTTCCGGGTTTGGAACTTGCAGTTTCGAACAGGTCCCCGTTTCGGTTCTAGGTCAGGGTACCCTGAATTTTTTCTCACCCATACTCTTGGGAGTAATCATGAACCATCGGGTGACGATGGTACTAGTGGTTCAGATGAAGAGCCAAATGCTCAAGCAAAAGCATTTCAAGATCTTTTAAAGGCTGTCAAGCAACTAATGTATGAAGGGAGCTCCATGTCTGTCCTAGAAATGGCATCTCGAATTGTATCTTTGAAATCGGAATACAATTTTCCCCATAGGTGTGTTGATGGGTTTGCTTCATTAATGAACGAAGCAATTCCAAACGATAATAAGATGGGGAAAACATTCTATGATACAAAGAAGATTCTTAACGGACTTGAGCTTCCGCACGAGAAGAATCACACATGCCCAAAGGGTTGTATGTTATTGATAGCATGATATTTTGTATGATTATAGAGTGGTATTTAACATTGAATTTGTGAGGAATCGATGCCTTATTTCATCATTCACTCTATTTTTATGCATTTTTGTGTATTACGTGCTTCACGGGGTTTTTTTTATTGTTTTTTTTATAACATTTTAAGTCCAATGATCACACTACGAAGCATCCCGGGAAGTATGCAAGGAATTTTGAGCAGTGAGGAAATGGAGTGAAGCAATTTCGAAGAAGAAAGAATCAAGATCGAAGAAAGGAAGGAAAATAAAGGCCAAGAAGACCCTACACGGACGTGATAACTCTTGCACGCTCGTGCAGGGGTGTTCCAGAATGACTATTGATACTGCCCAGGTTTGCACGACCGTGCAACATCAAGAACGCCCGTGCAAAACCTTAGGCATGGTCGTGGAAAGCCCTGCACGCCCGTGCAGGGTGTCTTGGTCCAAAACAGTAGCTACTGCTTCAGCATAAGAAGACCTGCACGGACGTGCAACATTTGGCACGCCCGTGCAGCTTGCAAGATACCAAGACAGTAGGTTTCGCCTTCTACTGTCTGATTGTTCATGGCCGCGCACAATGCTTCACGCCCGAGCTGCCTATGCTTCACGCCCGTGCTGCCTATGCTGCACGCTTGTGCCAAGCTACAGTCGAACCCGATTCTTGTTTTCTCCATCTTTTTTTGGGGGTCTTATAAATACCTCCCTTGAACTCATTTGTACGGACCTTCTTCCCTTTTAACTCCCTTAGGCTTATTCTCTTGATTAGTTTATAGTTTTCCTCTCCCTTAGTTTCTAAAAAAACTCAATCATTTGTAAGAATTATTGGAAGTTTCTTCCAACAATTTCAACAATTTCTCAACTTTGAATCTTATTAAGTAATCTGTCTCCTCTATCTCTTGCTCTTAATTTTCAGTTTTTAATTGCTTTGAGTTGATAATTTATCCCTTAATCTTGTTTATTTGCTCTTGCATGTTTAATCCATTCTTGTTCTATCTCTCTCCTAGCTTATTTGAATTCATGAAAACTCTAGATTTAATTGATAGAGTAATTTCCACCATGTTTAGTGAGTAGTCTCTTAGTTAGGGGTTGGGTGAAAACCCAACTAAGCTATGGTTGATTGACTTGGATTTATTCATGTTCTACCTTGGATTGATAGTTTTTTGTGCTTGAATTGATTATTGCATGTGTATTTTGATGGCCACTTTATGCTCATGTGTTCATCCCTCTTCTCACATTGAAAGATGAAGTTTTTAGAGTGAGTCCTTTCTTGTGCAATTGGACTATGCTACCTTCATAACGATGGATGTTTGGTTTCATTAAGTATGATGCTTTAGTATGGTAATTAGGTGAGAAATCCCAATTATTTGTGCTTCATGCTAGTTCGGAATGATCGAGAAACAAACTCGAGCTAGAAACCCACTTCCTATCCTTGATGCTTAATCCTTGTTTTGGTGCTTAATCTAGGAAGTACTTATGTTGTAACTTTGAAAGAAGACAATGTTAAGTTCCTATTCTATCTTCCATGTGTGCTCATGATTTATCCTTGTTATTGATTATTTGGTTTGGTTGGTGTTGAATCATGTTTCCCCTAGCCTTCCTTTATATAGTAGTTAACTAATCAAAACCCAATTTGTGACCGAATTAGCTTACAATCGTTTCATACTCCTGGTTTTCTTTACCCATTCCCTATGGATACGATCCTCTACTTACCCTAGACTTGTCTTAGGTTAGTTTAGGTAGAAATACTATTTGGTTTAGGGTGATTGTCCAACGACCGATTATTCCTATACCAGTTATTTTGGAGAGCTGATGCTGACTTGGATAAGTGTAGAGTGTGCCAAAGGGACAGATACAAAAGGACTTCAAAGGGGTCATTGGTTCCAATAAAAGAACTCGTTTATTTCCCCATCACTCCAAGGCTACAAAGGTTGTTTGCAACAAAGAACATTGCTGAGGAAATGACATGACATTCTAAAAACCCAAGATTCCATGGCACAATGGCGCATCGTAGTGATAGTGAAGCTTGGAAGCACTTGAATAGATCCTTCCCCGATTTCGCATCTGAACTAGAAATGTGAGACTTGGTATGTGTACCGATGGGTTTGCTTTGCATGGCAAGTTTAGGGGGTCAATACTCATGTTGGCCAGTCATTCTGACCCCGTATAACTTGCCTTCATCGATGTGCATGAAGAAACCATTTATGTTCCTTTCTTTGCTTATTCCTGGTCCAAAAAATCCGAAGGGGAACTTGGATGTGTATATGCAACCGTTGATTGAAGAATTGAAGCAATTGTGGGATGTTGGTGCAACAACTTGCGAAATTTCTAGGAGAAAAAACTGCAATCTGTGTGCAGCAGTCTTGTGGACTATAAGCGATTTCCCAACCTATGGTATGCTTTTTGGATGGTCAACAACTGGTAAAAAAGTTTGTCCATATTGTTTGGACAAATCAAAATTTTTTTACCTTGAACATGGTTGTAAAATTGTCATGGTTTGAATTTCCGACAATTTCTTCCTCCCGAACATCCTTTTCGAAACAATAAAACTGCTTTTTTAAGAATAGGGTTGAAAAGGGGTCACCGCCTCACATAATGTCTAGCGGCAAGTTATGGCAATAAGTTCAACACTTGGCAAAGGCAACAGATGGCTCTGAAGCACTCGCAAGCTTGAAAAAGAATAAACTAGGGTGGTTCAAACAAAGCATTCATTGTGAGCTCCCGTACCGGAAGACTCTTCTCCTCCGCCACAACCTCGATGTCATGCATATTGAAAAGAGTTTCTTTGACTAACTAATTCACACGGTGAAGGATGTGAAAAAATAAATTTCAGACACAGTTGCAGCTAAAAATGACATTGCCAAATATTGTAAACGACCACAACTTCATGTGACGGAGGATGCGAGAGGGAAAGACACTTTACTAAAAGCTCCATTCACACTAGATAAGGCTCAAAAGAAAGTGTTATGCGAGTGGGTTAGAAGCTTGAAATTTACCGATGGTTATGCTTCTAATTTGACTAGATGTGTAGAGTTACAAACATGCAAGCTTCGCGGTTTGAAGAGCCACGACTGTCATGTCTTCATGGAGAGATTGTTGCCGGTTGCTTTGAAGGAATTGCTCCCGGTCCATGTTTGGAAAGCTATTACTGAAATTAGTTTATTCTTCCGTGACCTTTGTTGTTCCACCATCAAATTGAGTGATATGGAAAGGTTGGAACACAACATTACAAAAATACTTTGTAAGCTCGAGAAGATATTTCCACCATCGTTCTTCAACTCTATAGAACACTTAACAGTTCACCTGCCATATGAAGCTGGGTTATGTGGTCCTATCCAATATCGTTAGATGTATCCATTTAAAAGGTTTTATTTCCTCCTAATTCATAATTTCAAACATTGTTTATATACATATTGTTGTTTGAATAATATATAACTTATTTAATAATTTTTAAAATTATAGGTTCCTTAATCATTTGAAACGTAAAATTAGCAATAAGGCTAGTGTTGAATAGGGATGGCAATTCAATCTGAGTTCAATTCGAATCCGATCCGATCCGAAGGAAAAAATCCGATCCGAATCCGTTTAATTTGAGTCTGAATCCGAATCCGACAAAATAGGTCCGAATCCGAATAGGAGGCGGATCGGACTTGGACCCTGTGCAGAGTCCAACCGAGTCCGACCCGAGTCTGAGTCCGAATTCGAGTCCGACCCGAGTCCGACCCGAATCCGAGTCCGAGTTCGAGTTCGATCCGAAAACATGCTAAATTTGGGAATCGGGATATTTACAACATATATTAAATCAATTTATCAATTTAGTTTTAATAATTTAGCCCACCTTGACTACTTTATGGCCCAACTTCCTTAATTCAATTACTTCAAAAAAAATAAAAAAAATAAAACTACTAAAAACTAAAAGGATAGTGAACAAAAACCCTAACTCTTCACCTTCACTCTATTGCACATTTGCACAGCCACCATCTTGCATCTTCTTTATATTCAAAGGGGAAAAAACCACCTTATTCACGCAAACCAACGCCGCCCACCACTCCACCAGCTAGGCGACAATCCTATCGACGTTTCGAAGGTTTATCTCTGATTTCCGACCACCTTTGGTGTCCGACCACCTTCCCGACGATTCGAAGGTATTATCTCTGATTTCCTTCATGCTATTTTTGTTTTTTTTTTTGCTAGTTAAATTAAATATGATCATAGATGAACCCTAAATTGTGAAATTGATATGATAATTACTCAAAGAATGAAAGAAACAACAACTTATCTCAGAAACTGCTTCAATGTGCGATTCAATGGAGAGTTGAGTGAGAGGCAGGGGCGCAGGGCAAGCCGTCAAATAAATAAATGGGGTGGGTCTTAAACGTGGGTCAATTTTATTTGATTTTTCTGTTTTTTTTAGTTTAATTTTTCGTAATTTGGTATGTTAGCAGACTTGTTAGCTATATAATCATCTAGTTGCTTCAGTTTTTGTTTTGTTTTGTTTATTATTATTTTGTTTTTAATTTTTGAGTTATTTTATTATTCTCTGATTTCTATGTTTTCATATGATAAATTCTTATTTTTCTCATGTTGTAAGTATGGTTGATTTTTCACATTATATTGACTATGGTTGATTTTTCACATTATATTGACTTATATTTGCATAAATTTTTGACTAAGATTAATTATTATTGATGTTTAGGCTTAAACCATATTGAATCTTCAACATAAACGGCTCCTCCTACAAAACAAACAAAAGGTAGTATCTACATACTCTTTCATATATTATATTTTATGCATAAATTTTGGTTAGTGTTATTTTATGAAATAATGATTAATTTTTAATATTACAATTGTATAAATATGGAAACCGATGAGGCATCTTCTAGTCCGGATGATTGTGAAGAGGTTAATGGCCAACCAACTCATACTAAAACTACTAAGAAGCAAATCAATGATTCAAATACATCACATGTGAATGACAATGATGACGAAAATGAAAATGATGATGAAAATGAAGATGAGGGTGTGATAACGGATAGTAATGGAAGAAAGTTGACTTCGGCAGTGTGGAAATTTTATGACAGGAAATTGGTTAATGGAGTATGGAGGGCCTTTTGTAAAGGTTGTAAAGAAAATTTTGTGGGTAAGAGCTCAAGTGGCACTACAGACTTGAGAGAACATACAAAAAGATGTATGAAAGTCAAGAAGACAATAGATGTGAGACAACAATTGTTACTAGCTAGTGCAAGTAGGAGTGGAAGTCCTACTATGACAATTGGAAAATTCAAATTCAACCAACAAGTTTCAAGAAATGAGTTGGTGAACATGATTCTTATGCATGAGTATCCACTTTCCATTGTTGAGCATGAGGGTTTTAGAAGGTATTCACATAGTTTGAACCCCGAATTTCATATCATTTCAAGGAATACCGTGAAATCCGACATTCTAAAGGATTACAAGGAAGAGAAATCTCGATTGATGAAGTTGTTGGGAGCAAATGGAAGTAAAGTCGCCATCACTACGGATATGTGGACTTGTAACAATCAAATAAAAGGTTATATGGCCGTGACGACACATTTTATTGATGATGATTGGATCTTGCAAAATTGTCTCATAAGGTAATTATACTACTTTATCACATAATTGATTATTATTATTATGTAATTTTATTTTATGATCTTTTTATTCATATGAGAAGGTAGTTACATAATGTTTTAGATTGCTAATTACATATAATTATTAATTATTGTTAGGTTCATGTATGTTCCATGCCCCACAACAAAGATACAATTAGTAAGGCATTAGTTATATATTTGAAGAGCTTTAATTTGGATGAAAAAGTTTCAACTATTACCGTTGATAATTGTACAACCAATGATGCGGTT